TATATATATATAAATAGACAGTAGATAGATAGAAAGATAGATAGCTAGATAGACAGAGAGAGAAAGAGAGAGAGAGAGAGAGAGAGAGAGAGATAGAGTGGGGTGATGGTGATTTGCTCTATGTATAGTATATAGCGTGGCATATGTAACAGCATTCCAGCCGATGATAGCTGATGTCCGGATAGATGAATACGTCGTCACAGCAACACGTCGCCTTCACGTCACTCGACAGGCGTCCACGCTCTCCCCAGCCGCAGCAACGCAAAATTCCCTTCCACCAAATTTTCTTCGTACGCGCGCCACCAGCCAACCAAGCATGCACAACTCACGCAGTAAAATAATGAGCAGCGGAGTAGTAGCAGGGACGATCGGCTTCTATTCATCCCTCGATGGTCCCCCCTCCGCTCCGCAGGAGGGAAAGGGGAGGGGGATCGGGGGGGGGTGGATAGAAACTAATCGGTTCTGCTACTCTCAGAGCGGTGAAAAATGGCTCCCGTTTTTGTTTCGCTGTGAAACGCCAACAGGTGGCGATTCGCGACGAAACAAGAGAACGCCGCTGTCCCCCGACTGCAGCAGATATTCTTGTCGTCGCTCCGAAAGAATTATCGGCCAGTAGGGGACGAGGCGGATAAAGGGGAGAGGTGGCGGATGTACCGATGCCGGCGCAACCTAGTGGAGAAAAAAACAACCAACCTGATCTCTTTCTGATCGGTTGTGAGCGCGTCTGCCCCGACGCCATTGCCAATGTCGAATATTCGTGCATACAGTTCGTTTGTCCTGTTATCGACCAGGAAGAGAGACGCCCGGTCGGCTGACACAAGCTTTTGAGCAAAGTTCTGTAGGCAGAAAGATAAAAAAAAACATCTAGTGTGTGCGCGTGTGTGTATATGTATGAGGACGCCAAAAGGAGGTCAGGGAGAGGTCACGGCGGAACTTACAGCCGCCCGTCCGTCCGGACTAACGACGACGACGACGACGATGACGACGACGGTAATGACGACGATGATGACGAAGACGATGACGATAACGACGACAACAGCAAGCACTACATCCAACTACAGCAACAAGCCCGTCTGTTACACACCAGCGGCAAATCACGTGAGAGATGCGGCGGATCACGTGACACGGCCTTGCTCGTCGTTCCAGAAAAGTCGACCAAATTACTTCCTATAAAGGTGGGGATGAGGTGTGTGTGTCGGAAGGGGGGGGGTCAAACAATCTCTTTCTTCCATCCCTACTAGCACCCAATCCCTTACTGTTCACTAAATAATATTCATATCATAAATATATATTATTATAAATATCATTATAAATAGTATTATTATCAGTCCCCTTACCTCAATATTACCATATCTCGCTAACTCCTTAATTCCTCCATAATAACCACCTTGCTCACCCCACCCTTAAATAATATCGACCTTCCTTTCTTCCCCGTCAATAAGATCCTCTAATCCTTCTCCCGCAACAGTACCCAACCATTCTCCCTCTCTTCTTCAACACACCCCTTTTCCTCAATCCCTCCCCCCGGAAATCTGTCATCTACCGATTACCGGCAGAGGGCGTGGCTACCGGGTAACTGCCGTTCTGGGAAGAGCTGGCGTTGCTAGGGAAGCGTGCGCATGCGCAAGCCATATGTAAACGAGATTAAGCAGTTCTAGTTAGCGTGATGTTCACTCACATATAGAAGGGTAGCCGCTGTGCACAGAAACCAGACAGGCTGGGGACGGTGTACCGGAAACAGGTCTGGAGGTGGGGGGCGGAAGAAGGCGGCGGGGGGAGGGGGGGAGGTAGGTCGATGGCATCTCTGCCACTCAGGAAGAACACGCGACGACGCTACGCGCGATTTTGCACCGATAGATGTCGCGATTTCTGGTCTTCCGGCCATCGCCGCATTGACAGCCGGATGCGGCGATGGGAGACACGTCTGATAGTGTGTTACCATTGTTGTTGCTTGCTCCCCATCGTACATACGTAGATCTCGTAGATTCAATCGCAGCAAATTAACTTACGTACGTCTGTTCGGCGTATTTCCCTACGTGATACTTATATATATATATATATATATATATATATATATATATATATATATATATATATATATATATATATATTAATATATATATATGTAAGTATCACATAAAAATAGGGAAATACGTCGTACAGACGTACGTACGATAATTTGCTGCGATTCGCGCACGACGCATCTACGATGGTACAATAGCAGCGACGGGCATGACGATGGACTAAAGCTCGCCCACTACTACTGCTCTAGCCTTCCTTCGTACGGCGCGTACAGCGACAACATGGCGACAAGGCCTACGGCAAGGAGAACCTTGGAGTAATCATACTGATGATTACTCCAAGGTAGAACCAATGTTGAGCAGATGCGTGGGTTACATCTGCGTGCCCCGATGAGAGACCGATCACAGTGACAAGCCACATAGACGCGACCCGTGGTGCAAAATCACGCGAGAGTGCGGGTCACGAATAATAAAGGGGAGGGAGGGGGCGGAAACACGGACACGAATAAAATCACACGACACAACCGCAGTGGGTGATAAAACCTATATAGCGCAGCGGTGCGTCCGCCACGCGCCAGCCGTCAAATATTAGAACAGTACTGTCTGTGAATTACGAGAGCATTTCGGTAAATGTGGTGTCGAGCCTGGGCACTGGGCACTGAGACATCGCGGGGAGTGACGTACACGTACGTCATATATTTTGATCGCATAGCAAGGTAGAACAGCGCACTAGTTATTACTGGTACAAAGTATTTTGAGCCAGAGAGAAAAGCAACCTAGCAGAGTACGGTAGCACAAAACGCATGTTGTAGTGAAATAATTGTGTGCCAAATTGCCAGTGAAATCTCGTGTCTAAGTGCTCAGGCGTCGACCTCACGAAAAACACCGAGTATATTAGTTCTCTTAGCAGCTTGTGCGTTTAGCTAATCTGGTGCCTTGGAGCCGCAAGAAGTACAGAGGGCAGAAGCTTCTACATTTTAACGAATGTTTTTAAAGCAACGAAGCTCTCTTTCTTTCTGTGACAAACCGGACAAGCTCGCTATGCAACTAGACTGATCTAATTATCTTCGCTTCCGGCAGATGGCGTGGGTGTACGGCTCGCGCAGATACGTCACAGGGTGGCACTTACCATGATCTTCATTATAACGGTGTCCATGCTGACAATGTCCTGAAATATCGACCTGAGCAAAAGGAACAAAACACGACAACATCAGTATGACACATTACCTCACCCATTTCCTCATCCGTGTGTAAATATGTTTCACATTTACCGACAATTTCAAGGGTCAACTCTTAATAGGCAAAAGATTAATTGGCTCCATGCATGCTAGAGGGATATACTAATCGAATATTCCACCAGTAAATAACAGAATTTTTTCCCAAAAATAATGATGTTTGTCTAAATAGATTTTCTCGCTCGGTTAACCAAAATAGTTGAATTCCCCTAAATACAGTCGCACAGCAATACGATAAAACAGCGACGGCTGCTGTTCGTGAGGGCCGTTTCTATGGCAACGACGCAACTGCGCAGAAGACGAGCTCGCACTTACTTTGTAACAGTCAGTAAGAAGTCGTTCAACTTTCGCTGCTTTGTCATTGTGTGATACATCTGCAACGAGAGAAGAGCACACGCGTGCAGCCACATATATATATATATATATATATATATATATATATATATATATATATATATATATACCTCCTCCCACATGCCCTTACGCGGCTTTGAAGTCACATTCATTCAGCCCAACCTACCGCGTCTAAGCATTGCTTCGTGAAAGTTTCGGTTGTTTCCGCCGATAAATTTATGAATGAAACGGTGCTTCGCCCATGCCTCTATCTTCCATTATCCTTTCTAGCACGGTAATGCCCGTCATGATAGAGCCGCTCCATCAAGTTTTTACAACGCACTCAGTTTACTCAGTTAGAGGTACCAAACTTTGGGCATGTGACATCAATTATCAGCGCTCCAAGCGGGTGACGAAACAGATAGCCAAATGCTTAGACGCGTGAAGGATTGCTATTTGTGTGCATTCAAAGCGGCGTAAGGAATTGGGAGGGGAGGTTTAGATGCCGATTATCGTAGCCTAGGAGTATCGTATTGACAAGCGGTTCTTGGTCTTCGTTGTAGAGAGACAAGGCGAATTCTGCTTAAATGCGCAATACATGAATGCTATTCTAGACTCGCAGGGAAAGTAGAATAATGATAGTCGTGAAATTAGCATTATTTTCCCGTTTTTCCGTCTTGTACACTCTAGATTATTACTCTTGATAAGTATATATAGTATAGATAATAGTATATAGTAGTATATAGCGTATATAACGATAGTACTATATGTATATAGTATATAGTATATGTATTATAAGTATATGTATTAAGTATATAGGTATTATATATCGTATTATAGTATAGTACTATAGTATATATATAGTTATAAGTATATATATATATAGTATATATAGTATATATATATAATTATATAGTATTATAGTAGTATAGTATATAGTATATAGTAATATATATTATATACTATAGATATGATTATAATAGTATATAGATATAGTAGTATAACATATATATATATAATTAGTTCATATATTGCACTCCTACGATTACATACGCCACCATGGACGCTGTCACTGCATTCTTCTTCGGGCAAATTTGTATCCTGGTACCGATGGTCGGAATGTGGCTATTATCGGCTATAATAATATGGCTATAAATAGGTTGAGAAGGGATGCGGGAGCCACAAACACGTAGGCACATCTCGCTCATATATAACATACGTGAACATGATTACATCGTTGCGTATAGGTTATGCCTGATAATATCGGTAGCTCGTAAACACAAGTGACCTTTCTACACGGACGTTCAGGATTAATATTACGTTCGTTCCGTGTCGGGTATTTACGATGCTTTACTAAGTCATTTCATGTTGCGTTACGGGGGGGCGTCATTTGTGCGCTTCCTG